GGCTCAGTTTTGTTCCGTGCTTCAAGAGTGCCGCTCATTCAAGTGCTGAAATGTATTGCATACAGGATTGCCTGGATTGCTAGAATGTTATATTATTTAAACTGTGAGAAATTGTTGGCCATCCCAATTATTCAAAACAAAAACATATAGGCCACTCCTGTATAAGCGCCACAACGTTTATTTAAATAATATTTATTAAATAAATACCGCAGCGTATTACTCAAGAGCAGGAGCACCATGTTTGGTACGTCACATATACGAGAGCATCATTTACTTGAGATATACTTATTCGGGATAATTTATGATGTCACATCAAAACGTATTCAATATACAATACAAAACATTAAAAATAAATCTAGTTGAGGGGTTAAAAGAACTTAGCAGCAACAGTGGTTGACTCCTTTAAAACAAAGATCTAAACACATAATTTCTGTGAAAACTCAACTGAAAAAAACTATTACTGGTGTGCTTATAAGAATTATAGCTAATTAGCTGCCGCAGATGCGCAAATTTCATCTTCATGTCGGAAGTTCATCATTGCTTGGAGAGCGTGATCTTCCTCTGTCATTTTTTCGTCACCCGATTCATCCTCGTTATCAGAAAACTCAAAGACGTTTTCGGTGCCATAAGCCTGGTTTGTACGTCTTCGTTCCTTGATCAGTTTTTGCACAAGAAACCGCCTCTCGTCGGCCTCACTCTCAGGAGTTGTCTTTACGCACATGTCACAAACTGAGGCTATGAGAAAAGTTGTAATAATGAATCCACAGAATGCAATGGCAGCAATAGCTTCCATATTCCATGGATCGTAGGACGTCTGAAAGTGCACGCACTTTGTTGATATCATGTTAGCACCGCGTGCGCCGCTCAAGCGGTCGTCTGTGTTGCCATTCTCTATGCATACGTTATAATGAGTGAACGATTTCAAATCATCAACCTTGATTCTATCAATTGCATCAGTGGCATTGACACCAATTTCGAGCTCATCGACGGCGACAGGTATCCCGTCTGCTGTAAGTTCATGTGCAACAATCCGGTATGTTGCGAAATCGTCATCAGCGCCATTATCAGTGTCATTTGCGTCTGTTTGTAAGGAACTCAATTTAATATTTGCTGATGATTTCGTGATGTTTTCTGCCACAAGGCTTGCCTTCAACGCATCAATACTGACAGTGAAGACAATTACTGTCAACAAACACCACACTGATAAAATGATCGCTTTCATTGTCCTCTAAAAAAGAAGAACGTTCAACGTTAGTCATAGACACTGTAGAATAGAATTACCACGTTATGCAGTAGATCTAGATCTATGCGGATAATCATTATTCTTAATAATTAGGCCTAAGTTACTGGTTTTGTCTAATTTTATACTTTAATGAAACTAGGCCTCTGCCTAATAATATTTTTAAAACGTGATGCATAAAAGAGAACAGTAGGAATACTTTGAGAAGAGATTCAAATGAACGTGTTCATGTCTCTAAATCTTAGGAGTAACAATTTTTTTGTGAGAACGTTACGACAAAGGCACAAGAGATGTCTGAAATGAGAGATTGTTTTCATTGATAATGTAGTGTTTCTCACTTCATCCTTGATTCGTCCATAAAATAATTATAACTCCATGATTCGTCTATGTTTTATTTCCTTGGGAACCCTCATCTTATTTAATACATAAATAGCCTAGAAAATGTTCAGCCCAAGCTGAGATCAAGGATTGGATGATGTGTTTATCTCCCATTATTACCGGTACATTTTGTAGACTAAAATCTGGTATTATCGAGGTGTCTACAAACTGTTTTTAACTAAGACCTGATGTTCATTCGAGAACGTTTGATGGGCAACCTTTTTTAAAATTTGCAAGGTTAAATGCTCCAGGCTTGATCTGAGGAAATTTATATGTTCATCTCTCCCAGTCAATTGTTTTTGCAACTTCATTGAAATGTTCAAGCCAAACTTGCCAAAGAATGGCAACATATTTATTTTGTTCTTTTATGGGATAAAATGTTAAATCATAAATTTCAGGGCATTTTATCAAACGAACACATTAATCAAACAGAAAAAGGGGCTATGATTATACCGAAGTATAACACGAAGTAAGAAAATCAGGTGACGCTGTTTTAAATGCTGTTTGTCACTAGAATCTCAATATTGATATTGCATTAGCGTATAGACCTATAAATTACGTGCAAATAATAAAATAATATTTCAAAATTATGTAGGCCATTTGGCCAAATACGCCTATTATACATCGATTTGCTCACAGTTATATGATGACAGAAATACCGTACTTAACTAATATTAGGCCTATAATACAGAAATTACGCTTTCTGTTAGCAAGCTATCCCAAAGTAACAGTGAACCTGTACCTGTGCAGTAAAAGAGTTGGTTGATATTGATGCTGTCCACACACCATTATGTGAGGGAATCGTTTTCAGTAGACACTATGAAACAAACACGTACACTTAGGCTTCCATACATTCTAAACATTAGGTCTAATCATGGGAGATAAATGAACCAGACTACTCTGTGAAAAAGGTAAAATTCACTCACCTTTAATATTTACATGTTTCGATAATCTTCTTTGGTATTATAGTGTACATACGTTATAATTCTAATGGGTTTTAACACGTCATAGTGATTTTATAAATCGATATCCGTGATTGCTGTACAGTATTAATTATTACGATGGATCGATAAGTCAGTGACAGATGGCAAGTTGGTGCCAGGTGTACACGATGAAGGCGCTTTTCAAAGTAGCATTCAGCCAATCAAATAAAGTCAATCACGTTTGTAATTCGGCTAAATGGTGGTGCCAAGATTTTAAATAAAAGTAGACTATTAGGAATACAATTTTTTTAAATAAAATATTTCTCTGACTTTACCTTGAGATTCATTGTTGCGTCGCACTTTATAAAGTGTCTCACACTTTGTAGTAACTGTCGCACTTTGTAGGACTAATGAGCTCTCGCACTTTAATAACTGTCTGTCACCAAGGAGGTATGCCTCCCTGGTCACACTAAAAATGAGCTGTCGCACTAATAAACTCTATAGCATAGTTTATAAATTGCGATCCATGTTATATTCTATATATTATTTTATCTTCAGGGGATCGAATTTGATTTTTTTTTTCTCTGTTTCGTATTATATCATCTTTATGTCGATGGAATGGCTTAAACGACACACTACCTTTTCTGTCATACAAAATCATAGACAAATCATGTTTTGCAATGATACGAAAGTTATTCTGTCTTTACAAAACGTGTTTTGTTTTGTAAAAGACAAAACCATGTTTGTACAAAACGTGTTTGTAAAAGACAAAACAATGTTTGTCTGTACAAAACATGTTTTGTAAAGACAAAACCATAGTTTTGTATGGGTGTCTATATAACTAAGATCTAGAAAACTTAGACCTAAGATATCTTAGTTTTCTAGATCTAGAAAACTAAGATATCTTACTTTTCTAGATCTAGAATACTAAGATATCTTAGTTTTCTAGATCTAGAAAACTAAGATTTTTACTGATTTTTAATGATGGGTTGTACCATTATACCATGAGGTATTTTGATTTTAAAGCAGTAAAATAAGGTTATACCATTATCTCAAATTATTTGAATTAATGGAAATTGAAAAAAAGGTTAGATTAATTCATTAGATTGTTCTCTATGGATTGTTAAACATTCTAGATAGTCATTAAGTCATTTGGCCTTGATTACGTACCCTTCTAAAGTCTACATTTTTATAGTAAATTTTGGCATGGGTGAATTTTATCACTGAACGGTCATTCTGTTCCTGTGAGTATTGATTATTGTGGAATGTGACTAAAGTCAGTGCTAAACCTAGGCCTGTGGTGGACCCAAAATAGGTTAACAAACGGGACTTGCAAATAAGACATACTGTTCAGTCCTCAGTCTCTTGGTTAGTCAAGGCGAGTCGGTCATAGGCCTGTCACGCCAAAATTGGTCCGGGCTAAAATCGGTCCGGGGGACCGATTTTGGCCGCTAAAATTTGTCCGGGAGACCGATTTTGGCCGGCCAAAATCAGTCCTCCTTGGATAATATTGGTCCGGCCTGGAGATATTTTGGCTTAGCTAAATCGTTCCGCCTACACCTGCTACAGTGCTACACTATACGAGTTCGTACTCAACCAATTGCAGCACAGTGAGTGCTTATACTTATCGGTCCGCATAGATTTTGAGAGAAAAAGCTTTTTGGTGGGAAATTAAAAATTGAACGACCAATGAAAATGAAGGTGATGGGTTAATTATAATCTTGAGCCTATTTGCATACATCGCCGTATATAAGGCTACAGCAGCTGTATGCGAAGGAATTCATTTGATAGCAGAGGCTCGGTTTGGTTAATACAGTATAAGAAGTAAAAGAAAGATTGTGCTTACTTTTTAGTTTCAGGGTGATGTACACCTTACAAGGAAGCCTAATTATTTGACATTTTAGTAAGTCGATATCCATTAATTAAAGCTGCTAAAAATACGGAAAGAATCATGATCCAACAGCATGGAATATCGTTGTAAACAGTAATTATTCAACACACATTTACCCACCCCCCTCTTCTCTACCAAATATATAACAGGCGCGGATGTGGTGGTTTATTTTTGTCACTGATAAAAAAAATAAAAAATAAAAATAAGATAAAAAGAAATAATTGGTTGCCTAATAATAATACTCGTTTACTACACTTCCAGTTAAACTCCCTCATTCCTTGTTTGTATACTTTAATTGGCGCCGTTCTCTTTGCAGTGCACAGTAGTGCAGCCGCATAAGGTTGGAGTTGAATAGCTTGGTGGTTAAGATGCTTGATTTCCAATCCCAGGGTCCTGGGTTCAATTCCTGTCAGTGTTGCAGGATTTTTTCCCACGACCAAAAACTCCACTCCCTAAATCTCCAATCCATATATATCCTGAGGTGGAACATACTGCCTAACAAGGTGCCTGTGTGTACCCAGGTGTAACAAAGACGCTGTTTCTACATTGGTGGTGGTTAAACTCATCCTGGATGCCTCTTTGTATGTGCGCTCTATAAGCTTAAGTATCATGCATATATTTTAAACCCCTCAAGGATAAATGCATGTATTATCGGGTATACCGTGTTTTGCGGACTTTCCACAAAGACAATCCAAATAAAACAGTGAAACGGTTGTACTATGCAACAATAACCTTTATTTCACTTGATGGCATGAGCAAGATACCGATCGGCACCATTAACATCCAAATCCAACTATAGGTGGCAGCATCAAGAATCGTCATCATTCTCCCACCTACTGGAGTATCCAATACCCAAGTCTACTAATCTTGGTTCAGGCATGGAGGTATTATTGAGAAGGAGATCACTCAGCAACAGTTCCCTTTGACGCGGCAAACCCATGTGTTCCCCGCTTTTGCATCGCGCGCGGGCGTATTACCCTATAATTCACATTTTTTCGTTAGCAACAACTTGGCAACGACATGCATTTATACGCTTCCAGCAGAGCAGTTGTGCAATAATGATTTTAACCCATTAAATATCTTTATAATGAACAGTGTTCCCCTGATTAGATTTTTTCGGACTTTTGGTATGTTATTATTTGTATATTTCAGGAACGGATTCCGTAAAATATTTATGTTAAAATTACTTCTGTGTTCATTATAATTTTGTCTAAAGATTGATTAGTTCTACTATAAAGCTAAGTCAGCGTAAAACTGAAAAATACTCAGATTTTGGATTGATTTTTCGAATAGTTAACCCTCTAAAATTACTTAGTTTATTATAATCCTCAATCATTTATTAATTAATATCTGTTAAAATTAAAATTAGCGAATTTTGGCCAATTTATGGAAATTGAAGTTGAAATATACTATACTTTTAAAGGTCATGTAAATGTTCCATTAAATTCGAAACTTTTTTTGGTGGAAAATATTAATATGTTTGATATTTTATAAGAGATAAGTGTATCAGCTTCGAAATGGAAACGATTGCGCAGCCATAGTGATTGACTGTATGTAGTGCGCATCGAGAAAAGAAGGTGCTCTCCATTTCGCCATGTTCAATTTTTTGGTAAAACTATGCCTGCTGAAAATTTGATGGCGGGGAACACATGGGACTTCAAAGGCATCGCGTAAACGTTCTCCACGCGCTGCGGCAGCTTTGATCTTGGTTCATTTGCATAGCGCTGCGTGAGCGTAGCTTTTTCGAGTGATCTCCTTCTCAATAATACCTCCATGGTTCAGGTCATCAACTATCTATCGTTCAATTACATAAACGTCAAACTGCAAATCAATTCAATATACCAACTTGTCTATGAACATCCAATAGATTACATTTTTGTAGTAGACTTTTGATCCTATATAGCCAATTCCATTTTATAGTGTCTTGTACTTGTAGGGTGGCTTTTGACAATAGTTAGGCCATCTATCCTCATCCATGCATTTTAGTCTATTAAAATATGATAGTCTAAACTTGTTCTGAATGGTTTGCCAAACTAGGTCGCCATATACGGATTCCTTTGCTACGTTTCAGGGCTTTTGAGGATTTTTCTGGCCATTTGATATTGTAAATTTTTAAATCCACACCGAAAAAGCGTAATTTATAGTTGGCAATCCGATAGCATTCCATAATAATTTTCCATAAAAAATCCTATTGAAGTTATCTTGTTCATTAATGATGGATTTAATATACGCAATGATTTATTTCCTTATTAAAAATTTCCTTATTTAAATTCTTCATCGAGTTGATGTGTGTCGCTCAATGAACGAGAGATAATTACTCCTAAATATTTATAGCTATTTATTAAAATGAATAAGAAACCCTCGTGGTTTTGTTTTAGAGTAAAATC